TGGAGATTGGTGGTGTCTTCTTCTTCAGCAGCAACAAGCAGCTGCTCCATTTGCTTTGAAAGCTTCTGGTACTCCATCAGGTTGGTTGTGATCTCAGGTCCCAGCAGATCAGCAAACCTGTCCAGAGAGCCGATAATACGTGGGATCAAGGAGCTCAGCTCCAGCTTGGCAATCGTCTCATCCAAGACAGATAGGATTCTTTCTGTCTCAATGCTATTAGGTTTCAACCAGCGCAGATCTAACGCCTTCACGGCACCTGCTGCCATCATTGCCTTCTCTGCAGCCTCTGTGCCCATTACCAGCAATTTGTTTCTTTCCTTTTGTGTCCTGCACTGATACTCAGAGCACAGCTGGAACACAGCTCCCATTAAACACTTGGGACTTCGTTGTTTTCAGGTCTAGAAGAGACACAGCATCTCCTACACAGGCCCTCAGTGTAAGACCACGAAGGCACGGGGCTGCCAGCAGGGCTGACCGCTGCCCCGGGAGGCTGTCAAGCAGCGGGAGCGCAGCCGTGGGAGGGCAGCGAGGGGCTTCTGGCTTTCAAGGCGGTGCGACGAGAGCTCCCAGCTCCTAAGCAGCAGCCGAGGCAGAGATCAGACTGCAGCTCTGCAATCCTCGGGAGGCTATGGGAGAAGGCGCGGGTCTGTGCGGCCGACAGAAGGGCGGTACGGAGCCGCGCTCCCGCAGCGCTTCGCTCACCGCTGACCGGACCGCACTGCCGCCGGCGTCCCCCGGTCGCTAGGCAACCCGTGCGGGGGGGCGGGCTCTTTCCAGACACACTGGAACCACTCAGCGTCTTCGTTCGCTTGACGGGCAGCGGTACTGTCCAATGAAAAGCGAGGAGAGGCCGTGACGTCGCTGGGCGGCCATTTTGGGGGCGGTGGCAGCGGGTGGGTTCAGGCACAGAGGCGTAATGGCCAAAGTCGCTGTTTGCGGCGGGTTTCGAGAAGATGGGGATGCGGCACTGAGGGACGTGGCGGGGCTCGGTCAGCAGTCGGACTACATGATCTTAGCGGTCTTTTCCGGCCTAGGATTCTATGAACCAAGTGGCTCCCAGCTGTCAGCCTGTGCGCACCCGCTATTCCCCACGTGGGCTTTGGACAGGAGCAGCTCGTCTGAATAACGCTGCAGCCTTCTGTCCCTGCAGCCTCTTCGGTGAGGGAAGGCATCGTGCGCGCATCTCTGGCTGCTACGGGTGGGAGCTGGATCCTGGCAGTGCTGGCTGCTGTTGGGATGTATCCTGCCTTTGGTTCCAGTCTCAGCCACCAGCACCCTCTGCAGTCGGCTGCAGGCAGCAGAGCTCCCCGGAGGTGTCGGGGCACTGAGATCACAGCGCGTTATTTTGATCAGCAGAAAGCCTTGCCAGCAGCTCCTGCACGGCCAGGACTGGGAATCAGCCAGCACTCAGACCCGGCGTGCCAAAGGGTGCAGTGCCAGCACGATTTGATCACACAGATCTGGTGTCTGGACCAAACTCTGAGCCCATGCTCAGTGTTAAACTTCCCCATTTCTCCCAATGTTTTCCAACAAGGAAGACCCAGAGGCAGCCAGCAGAACCCACCCCAGTCTAACAGCCTCCAGCTCCTCCAAAACTGTGCTGCATTATTTGCTTCTTGGCACTTCCATGTTTTTCACCACACTTCTTCTTGCTTTATAGAGCTGCTCAAGCTAATTGATGTAGGCAGACACCAGCCTGTCCCCAGTGCCAGCATGAAAGAAGAAATTTATCATGTCCAATCCAGCCAGGTGTGCTGTCCTGATGCTGAGGATTTTAAAAACAAGCGTATGAATCTCTTAAGGAAAAGCAGAATGTACTCTGTGCTGCAGCACTGCAGCAACCAGGGTGGGCAATCAGGGTAAATACCCTCAGTGCTGTGGTTTGTCCATAAGCTGAACTCCATCCTGCTTTGGGGATTCTACCATGACTCCGAATATCCCTGGTTTGGATAAGGACAGAGGAAAGTCAGTAAAATCTACTTGATCTTCTGCTCCTTGAGGGATCCTTCTTCAATGCCTCATTCCTTGTTTGTTTGTTTGTTTTTTTCTTCCTAGTGCCTTAAGTTACCAATTTTTCTTCTTTTTCTAGTGAGGGGTTTGTCTGCACCCTCTGGCTCTCTGATCCAAGCAGCCATGACACGTTTTGGATCCTCTCTAAAGGCACAGGAAGGAGAGACCAAGACAAGCCCCCAAAAATCTTCTAGTGGCTTTCCATTACTTTTCTACTGCCTCAGAGGAAAGCAATCCTTTGGAAGGCTTTTTGCCTCTTACGGCTGTGCTGCTGCTCAGCCCATGCCCTCACATCAGCCTCATCCATATGAAAGGAGTAGAACCCGACAGCGAGGGATGGTGCTGTTTATTGCTGTAAGCAGGCTGAGCACTGGCTTCCAGGAAGGACGAGCTGAAAATCCAAGCAAGCAGCTGAGAAACACAGCAGTCAGCTCAGCACAGCCTGCGGGAGGAGCTCTCTGGACGTTTCTCCCAATCCCTTCTCACGTCCCTTTGCTCGCAGCCTGGCCGCAGCAGCAGGGGCAGATGGCTTTCTACCTCTGCGGCTGAACACCTCCAGGGATTTTTCAAACCTTTCTGATGCCTTCTTCCACCGGGCTGTTTTTCTGTCCTGTTCTTTCACAAATTGCTGCTTCAACCGTTGGTGGTAACGTTCAATCTTCTTTTTGGCCTCTTCCAAGTGCTTTACCTTTAAGAAGGCAAATGTAAGACCTTATATCCTAACTTCAACGTAAAGATCTTAAAAGTGATGCTTGTCTCTGTGAAAGACATCCTGCCAGGTCCCTCCCTCCCTGCCGCAAAGGTGACCTCAAAGCTCCAAAGAAGCTCCAAAATCCATAATTACCACTTTAAACATTGATCTGATTAAAAAATAAAAATAAAAAAATGGAATCGTAGGATCATTAAGGTTGGAAAAGACTTCCAAGATGGCCAAGTCCAACCCCAACCCATCCCCTAACCGTGTCCTTCAGTTCCACACTGCAGGAGCTGCCCAGCTACCAGAGCAGCACTGGTTTTGCTGATGCACTCGTGCTAATTCACTCACAGCAGCTGCGCTGCCCCAACTCCTTGAAACCCATAACTCTGCGTGTTCTGCTGAGCACGGAGCACACAGGTGCCCATCAGCCCCGGTTGAGGGAATGGTGAACGGAGGAAAAGACATCTCAGCTCCCCCCTGTGAAGCTGCTGATGAGGATCCTCAACATGTCAGTGTCCAGCTCTGCCTGATGACACCCTGAATTGTAATTCCAGACTTCACCTGGCATCCTCACTTCCCGCAGGAGAGGGCGTCTCGCCTGCCATGGCTCACGGACTCATTACTGCTCAAAGCACAAGGCCTTAGGGGGCAATCAGGCAGCTGAGATGTTGTAAAACCTTTGGCTAATTCCCATTCCTGGGAGGACAGGTGTCGACGTGTTGCTCATGTCTCACTGCAGGGCTATTTTAGCAATGACATCTAAGGGCAGATTCGGTCTGACCACTCCAGCATTTGTTTCCCTCTCTGCTGCACAGAGCCCCAGAGCAGAGTAAAGCCCCTGGCATCTGCATTAGGACCTGGCAGGCTGAAGATTTAAGGGCTGAAGTGATGATTTCAGGGTTCTGAGGAACTGGGAGCAAAGCATTTGCACAAGACATTCTTCAGCCATTCGTCATCTGTGGCTCTTGCTGCCAGGGGATGAGGAACTCCCTCCTTTTTTTCCAAAGCACAGCCTCCAAAACACAGCAGAGAGCACAGCAAACCTTCCCCTATGCTGGCAGGATGGCGGCCCAGGGGAGGGAGGTTGTCACCTTCTTCTCCAGGAGCAGCAGGGTATGGTGGCTGGAGCGGCCGGCTGATCGGGACAGGGAGCTGCAGAGCTCATGGTCACCCACACTGATGTCAAAGTCCACAACACAGCTGCTCCAGGCAATAGGAAATCGGGTCACACAGAGTGGGGTACGAGCAAAGCCTTTTTTGGGGTGCGTGGGGACCTGGTGTGGTTGTGTAAGGGGTCCCACCATCTCTGATCTGGTGTGAGGGGTCCCATGGATCCCAACCAGTGGGAGGGGTCCCACAATCCACATAATGATGTGAGGGATCCCACCATCCCCATACTAGTGTGAGGGGTTCTGCAGCCCCAGGTCAGTGTGTTCTAAGCCCCCAAACTATATGAGGAGATCCCACCACCTCTAGAACAGTATGAAGCAGCCCCCCCATCCCTATATTGGTGTGAAGGGTCCCACCAATCCCACAATGGCACGAAGGAGCCCCACAGCCCCCAGCAGTTTTAAGAGGGTCCCACAGCCCCACACTAGTGTGAGGAGTCCTGTCACCCCCACAGCAGTATGAGGGGTCCCTCAGCCCCTCACCAGGCCCTGGTGGGCTCCCTGCTCTCGGGTGGTGGGAAGAAGGTGACACGGGGCCGCACACCACCCAGCTCCTCCATGGCCCCACGCCCCCCATTGTGCATGCAGCGCTACCATGGAATCAGTGGAGTGGGGAATTCGGCCCAGCCACTGCAGTGTGGGGCTGGCAGGTGACAGAGAACAGGGAACACGACACAGGACACTGGAGACAGGGCTGGCCATGCCCCAGCTCAGGCTAGTCCTGCTCCATGTACTCATGGTAGTGTTCCCACTGTGAGCCATACTGGGGGCTGGGCTCAAAAATGAGGCAAAACCTCATTAATGACGGCAGTGAGAAGCATCCATGTGGGTTGGTCATGCCCAAGGATGAGGGGAGGAACACGGTGGGACAGGCTGCCTGGAGAAGTTGTGGATGCCCCGTTCCTGGAGGCATTCAAGGGCGGGTTGGACGGGGCTCTAGGCAGCGTAATCTAATGGCTGGCCACCAGCCCATTGCAGGGAGGCTGCAACTAGATGATCTTCCAGGTCCCCTTCAGCCTACGCTCTGTGCGTGGCCTTCTTTACACTTACACTCGACGCTGTTTGTTTCCCAGGGAAGGAGGAGCAGCAGTGTCCACCACTGCTGCCGGACGAAGGCGCGGGCTATGACAGCCGCGCTGCACCTCCATAGGCACAGGCTGTCCCGCATCACCCCCTGCCTCTACCTCAGCGATGGCGTGGCTGCGGGCAACGCGCAGCTCCTGGCTGCCAACCGCATCACCACCGTCATCAACGTCTCCCTTGAGTTGGCCAACATGTTCCACCCCGGCATCGAGTACCTGCGCATCCCGGTGGCCGACATCCCCACAGCCCGCATCTCTGCCTGCTTCAACTCCGTTGCCGACTTGATCCGCAGTGTGGGTGAGCGCGGGGGCCGCACGCTGGTGCACTGCGCAGCCGGGGTGAGCCGCTCAGCCACCGTCTGCATAGCCTACCTGATGAAGCACCACGCCATGTCGCTGGCCAGTGCTCACGCCTGGGTCCGCTCGTGCCGGCCCATCATCCGGCCCAACAACGGCTTCTGGCGGCAGCTCATCCACTACGAGTATTTGCTGTTCGGCATCAACACCGTCCGCATGGTCCACTCGCCCTTCGGGATGATACCTGATATTTATGAAAGGGAAGCTAGGATGATGATGATGTTCTGAGTGTGGCCCAGCTGGGAACCAAGGCAAGCAGAAGGCGGAGTTGCAGCAGAGCTCTGAAATAAACTCTCGCTGCCTGCCAGTGGTTGGAGTCTCTGCAGCTACAGGAGGAGGGACTGGGCTGTGAGCAGAGGCTGGGGGCATGCTGTAAGGCCGTACAGCATCGTTCATGCCATGCTCCCATTGGCAATACTGAAGCCACTCATCACGTGCTGCTGTTGTTTCATTTCAGCACAAACTGTGCTTACAAAAAGGCAGGGTGTTCAGAACAGTACCAAGGTTTGTTTTTCCTAGTTGGGATATGACTCTGGGTCCGAACACAGCAGACCAATATCTGTTCTTCTGCCGTGGTTGGGAGAGACCAGGAAAAGCACAGTGCTGGGAGAGACCTACTGACATCCTGCTCCTTGCTGCTGATCCCTCTTCCTCCCCTACCAGATTCCCCAGGCCTGGATGCAGCAATGCAGGTGGGGTCTCACCCCCCCCACTTCAGGAGCATCACCCAGCATGTGACACAGGGACAGCATTTACTCAGCCAGACTTTGTCTTTGCTGCCTCCCATCTGCAGATCCCTCCCTGCTAGCACTGCCTTACCCTGGGGCAGCAGCTAATCCCTGTACAGAACATTTCAATGGCACTGTTAGAAGGGGCTGGAAGAGATGGTAAAGTCCCCACACTGGGGACACAAGAGCCATGGGGGTGTCAGAAGGCACGGGGCCATGGCAGCTCACTGTCTTCTGCAGGGATGGAGCTGGGAGCTGCCCCATGCCTGCGCCCCTTCAGGACACCCCAGCATCAGGAATGCCAGCAGGCTGAGGTCACGGCCTGAAATACTCAGAGAGGGGACAGCCACCAACACTACAAAGTGTTAAAAAGAGGGCAAACCAGGTAAAGACTGGGATCCTGGCCCAGCACTGCTCCTCCAGCCCCTGGCAGGGGACAGTGTGGGTGCCAGGCTGTGCTGGGGGCTTTTCCTGGTGTCCACAGTGAGGTTTGCCCTTCAGAAGGAAACCCAAAACGCCATCTCGTCCTTCCTGCTATGGAAAAGCCTCTGAAATCTGAGCCCTAAAAGCAAACAGGCAGAAGGGACAGGCACAGCTTGTGCCTGCCAAGCCCTTGGCAAGGGCACGGGATGGTTCTGATAGCTCAGCGCCCCTTGGGCACTTTGTGGGATGGGCACCACTCCAGCCCCAGGTGCCCTGGAGAAGCTGGCACCAACGGCAGTGGCCCTGTGGCACCGTGGTGGCCCTGCTGTGAGGAGCTGTTCCCGAGGTGTTTCTGCAAGCAGCCTCAAGACTCACCATCCCAGTGAGTGGAAGAAAGACAGCATTTGAGTCTGGAGCCCCAGCACATGCGAGGTGGCTCAGGCTAAAGTCTCTTGTCACAGCCCCCACTGGGAGCGGGGGCTCAGGCGGTCTGGGTGCGATGTCATGGCAGCCAAGAATGGAGTATGACAAAAATAGAGCTTTATTTCAGAGCTGTCCCAGTGCCACTGCACCTCCTCAGGAATACGCGAGTGTGCAGTGTCCAGCGTGCCCACCGTGCCATCACCGACAGCAGGAGGGTGACATCACTGGGACACCAGCATGGAGGTGGCACGCAGCACCCCAAGGGTCCAACGCCCTCCGTCCCATGGGGGCACGAGCTGTGTGCACGCATGCCCCATGCTCACTCCACCCAGCAGAGCTCAGTAGTGATGTGCACACGTGCACACACACAGAAATGCACTGGCACACACAGAATCTGTGCACACGCTGAGCCTGTAAGGATCCCCACCTGCAAGGATCTGCACACACTCGTGCACAGACGCTCGTGCACGTGCTGACAGGCTCATGCTCTCAAGCACAAAGCTGTGCACAGAGCATCACTCGCACACACAGTCTGTGCACACCTGCACAAAATGCTCTGCACACGCACTCCACACGCATAGACTGCCCAGCAGCACACGTGCCCACATGTATGAGACCTGCTTGCACACGTGGAACCTTCACACACCAGCACTCACACACTCCTTGCACACACTGCCATGTGCAGACGCACTCACACCTGCAGAGCCCGTGCACACCAGCACACGTGTGCCCCGTGCACAGAGCTGTGCACACAAACACTGGCATGTCCAGAACATGCATGTACAGAGCATAAACATGGCCGTGTGGACCGACATACGTGCACGCACAGTGTGCACACCAAACACACACGTGCACACGCTGCTGTGCACACCAGCACCCTGCGTGAGGACACAGAGCTGTGCACACCAGCACACTTGTGGGCATATCGTGCCATGCACGCCAGCACAGATGTGCTGTGCACACCAGCACACACATGTGCATGTTGCTACACACACCAGCACACACATGTGCATGTTGCTACACACGCCAGCAGGCACAGTGCCACGCACACCAGCATACAAGTGTGCAAACAGTGACACGCACACCAGCACTCATACATGGACACGCTGCCTTGCACACCTGCAAGCACACAGTGCTGTGCACCCCAGCATGTACGTATGCACACGGTGCCATGCACACCAGTGCAAATCAGCACAGTTTTGTGCACGCAGCGCCAAGCACGCAGATGCACTCCAGCAGACGTGTGCACACAGTGCCATGCACACCAGTGCACGCAGAGCTGTGCAAATCAGCACAGTCCTGTGCTCTTGGTGCCAAGCACAGCAGCACGCAGACGTGCAAACAGAGCCTTGCACACCAGCTCACGCAGAGCTGTGCCACACTCAAATCCCACCACCTCCATCCCTACTGGTGCCGGGGGGGCCGGTGCTGCAGCCACACGGCCCAGCGCCGTGCAATGAGCTGTGGCTGCTGGTACATGAACATCCCAGCCAGCGTCAGCGCGATGCCCAGGTAGCTGAGCGCGCTCAGGCGGCTGCCGAAGAGCAGGCGGGAGAGCAGCAGGTTGCCCACCACCGTGATGTTGCCCAGGAGGTGGATGGTGAGGGCGGAGGTGAGGGACAGGACGCAGAAGCTGGCCAGGTTGTAGAGGACGGAGCCCAGGCAGCTGAGCAGCACGCAGCCCCAAAGCGAGCCGTCGTAGCGCAGCACGCCCTGCCACGCCGGGGCCACCTCCAGTGCCACGGCTGCCCCAAAGAGCAGGCAGAAGCTGGGCAGGGCGGTGAGGCACAGCAGGGATACGGCGTCCAGGCGGCCCTCCTGCAGCAGCAGGCCTGGGGGGGACAGGGCAGAGTTAGATAGAGCCCCTGCTGCAAAAAACAGCCCAAAAATCACTAGGAGAAGGGGTGCCCTCAGCCCACCCCGGCATCCCATGGCATTGGGGGTGAGTGAGTCCAGGGGTGGCACATGCTCAGCTCTCATCTCCACCACAGTGCCCACGATGGGGCCAGAGGTGACACATAAGTTCCCAGGCTATTCCACCCTGTCCCCACACCCATCCTAATCCCAAAATCATCCCACCTCCATCCTCATCCCTATTCCCCTCCCAAACCCCATTCCATCCCCATCCCCGTCCCGTAGCCCTGTGAGTCATGGGCTGTGGCTACAGCAGTGATGCCCATGTGAGTCATAGGTGGAAGAAATGCTCCCAGCCCTCCAAAAAAACAGTGTGGTCAGGGTGCTCCTCCCCACCGCCTGCCAAAGACATCATGGCCTGGGTGACTCTGCTGGCCATGGCCAGGGGCCCTGAGTGGGGACAGCACGGCTCCACATGGGGACATGCAGGGGATGGGGATAAAGGGATGGGGGTGGGATGGTGGCTGGGATTGGGATGGGACAGGGATAGGATGGGGATGGGACCAGGAGCAGGCACAGACCGGAGAACAGGGGAACAAGATGGTCACACCGAGGTGACAGTGGAACAGGGTGGGCAGGGGGTGATGCTGGGGGTGGGGCGACACTGGGGAAGGGGCAGAACAGGACATGGGACGGCAGCGGGTGGAGTGACAGCAGGGCCACGAGGTGATGCTGGGACAGGGATGTCCCCAAAACTAGAGGGAGCAGCAGTGACACCAAGAGCATCCCTGGGACCCAGAGCACCATGACGGTGCCACGAGTGCTGGCACATCCCCGGTACGGCATCACCGGGACATCCCGAAGGCAGACAGGCGGCACTTACTCTGCTGCAGCGACTTGAGGGCACGCAGGACGGTGGCAGCCAGGAGGACGCAGCCCCCGGGCTGGTGGAAGCGGACACCTCCGGCGATGCTGCACACAGCCCCGGCGCAAACCGGTCCCATGGCCGCGTACTGCAGCGGATGGTGCCGGCGGCCCCGCAGCAGCGCCGATAGCAGCAGGGTGGCCAGCGGGGCGGTGGCGTGCACGGCCTGAGCTGCGTCCAGCGGCACCAGGCTCAGCCCCAGGTTGCCCAAAGCCACGCTGCCGCAGAAGGTGAGGCTCAGCAGGTAAATCCGTGCGCGGGGCCGGACGGGCGGCGGCGGTCCTCGTACCCAGCCCAGCGGGTAGCCCAGAGCCACGGCCGCCAGCATGTGCAGGGAGGAGAGCAGCAGAGGGTAGCGAAAACCGTGGGCGGAGAAAATCCATTTGTTGAGGCCGGCCAGAGCGGTGCCGGTGCCCAGCCACGCCGCGACGGTGAGCACCAGCCGTAGCGGCGGTCGTTCCCCCGGCTGTCCCTGGTCCGGTCTGCGGGGACGGAGGGTCCCGCCGGCGGCCATCATCGCTGCTTCATCGCCACCGGGGCACCGAGGACACATGGCAAGGATGGACGTGCGGCGGGTTCAGCCGTGGGATGCCATGTTCGGGCAGCGCCGGTGCGGAGGAGCAAAGTTTGATGGCGGGGAGAGAAGGCGGGCAGGGTCCTCCCCGGCAACCAGCGCACGTCAGCGCGGTGCGGGCAGGCGAGCGGTGATGCGGGAGAGCGGAGCGGCGGGGATGATAACCGCGCGGGGAGCTGGGAGGCGGCGGCCGCGCATCCCCAACAGAGCCGGGGGAGCGGCGACGGCGGAGCAGGGACGGCCTTCCCGGTGACGGAGGGGCTGCGTCAGTGTCCCCGGGTGACTCATAGGCGGGCGCCGT